CTGCATCGCGGAGAAACTCGCCCCCCGGCAGCGACCAATCGTAGTGGACATCCGTGCCGTTGCTTAGGGCACGGAACAGCACCTCCTGGCCCACTTCCGCCACGACCGCCCTCAGCACCACCTGCGGGACGAGGAGCAATTATGAGGTGATAATGAACGTGGTGATAATCAAGCGTGGCTCTATATGAAGGGGATGGATTAGATACATAGGTCTATAAATCATCATATAAATAAATAAAGGTGTGTAAATAAATGATGAAATATATATACGTGTGTGTGTGTGTGTGTGTGTGTGTGTGTGTGTGTGTGTGTGTGTGTGTGTGTGTGTGTGTGTGTGTGTGTGTGTGTGTGTGTGTGTGTGTGTGTGTGTGTGTGTGTGTGTGTGTGTGTGTGTGTGTGTGTGTGTGTGTGCGTGCATGCTTGTGTGCGTGCATGCTTGCGTGCGCGAGTGTATGTTTGCTTGTGTAAGACGTGTGCATGTATCACAACAAACATTTTGCTGTAAAAATAGAACCACCTTCAAAAACCCCACTGAAAATGAGGCAAATCAGACACTCGATATGCTTGTTCGTTGTTAACATACAAGAGAACAGCATTAGGCCCCAAGTATCTTCCCTTGAAAAAGAAGCGCTCGTACCGAATGGCTGGAAGGAAAGAACGAGTCGACAGATCATAAATCATGTATTGCCTATAAAAGTACTGGCAGAACATGATGTATTTGGGGAATAAAGTTTTGCGTGAGGATGAACACGAAGACTCAATCTCAGATTTCCCCCAGCATGGGCGGGGCTTCACAGGGATCAGGAAGAGATCAAAACATCGAAAATAGGAATATATATATATAAATATATGGTCAAACTCAAGAGCAAAAGAGAGGCTGAGGAAAAATGCAAATAAAACTGATATACAAAATGTGCAATAAATGTCTTGCAAAATATAAATCGACTGATTTGGTAAAGGCACAATGGATTACCTCTTGGAGATTAAGCCATGGAAATGCTATGTATATGATCGGGTTAAACATTTTATAAGAGAAGTGAATAGTTTAGAAATTAAACACGGTCATTAGGCCTAATCGAGTCTGGTTTCTTAAGACTCCCACAATAAAATCGAAACGTCTACCACAAGCCCTTATATATCCATGCTCTCTCTCTCTCTCTCTCTCTCTCTCTCTCTCTCTCCTCTCTCTTTCTCTCTCTCTCTCTCTTCTCTCTCTCTCTCTCTTCTCTCTCTCTCTCTCTCTCCCTCTCTCTCTCTCTCCCTCCCTCTCTCTTTCTTCTCTCTCTCTCTTTCTCTCTCTCTCTCTTTCTCTCTCACTCTCTCTCTCTCACTCTCTCTCTCTCTCTCACTCTCTCTCTCTCCCTCCCTCTCTCTTTCTCTCTCTCTTTCTCTCTCTCTCTCTCTCAGGCACACACACGCAAGCAATATTTTCCACACATTTTCCAACACCACCACCTAGCCTACACCCTTGTTTCTTTAACCCTCGCTTCTAAGCCACGTCTTTAACACACATGCTGCCATAAACGTTCAGTCCAGGTAAAGGGTGACCGGCGAAGATGAGGGATTATGCATGTTAAATTCCCTCCGTCCCTTCTCGATCCCCTCCCCCTCCCCCCCTCCCCCCCCTCCCTACCGTCGCCCTGGAGAAGCTTGCTCTATTTGAAGAACATATAGCCAAGGATTGATTTCTGCCCTACCGAGAATTCCTTTGTATCTGCAAGGGAAAAATATCTACACCGTAGGGAGGAAGGAAAGAGGAGAGAGGGGTGGAAAAATAGAGGAAGGACGAGGAGGAGGAGGAGGAGGAGGAAAAGGAGGAAGAGGAGGCGAAGGGAGAGAATTTTAATCTGGCAACGGTGGTCAAAGGAAAACCCCTGAGACGAGGGACGTGGATCTCGCCGAGGCCTCCTTAGGCCCACTGTTCCTATCGATTTCTGGAATATGCGAAAGCTGTGCAACGAAATACATCTATTCCTACTGCTATCCAGGCGATTCTCCCAACAGACGCACTGCTACTAGTCTTGGTTAGTATAGTTAATGGCACAGATAATGGTAGCGGTAGTGGTATTAAAGCCCCAGTGCGCGCACGTGTTATGTACACAGCCTCATTTCTCGTTATCAATACCACAACTCTCTTGAGACTCAAGCAAGGACAGAGGGAGAGACGGAGGGATGGGTGGTGGGGAGTGGAGAGGGGGAGACACACGCCTCGGAGACTGATGGGGATTGATGGGGATTGATCGTGACTGATGGGGAGGATCTGGTTATCACGCATGGTTAATCAGCCCCTACCCCTCCCTCTCCCCCCTTCCCTTCTTCTCCTCTTCCTCCTCCTCCCCCCTTCCTCCCCTTCGCCTTTCATCACTAGATAGTTCCCTCTCAATTCCTACCCCTGTTCACTCCCCCCACCCCCCTCAAGGCCGCCATTCCGTGGGCATTATGTAAATCAGTCTAGATCTTGTATGGAAATCACTTCACGCATCGCAGGTCTAGCTGGAAGATCTGTTCTATTTCGACGGTGAATAAAAAAAAAAAAAGCCTGATAAATGGTCAGACTGATAGGAGAGTAAATAAAACTGAATGGATATACGCATAGCGACAGATGAAAAAGATTGATTAGAAAAAAAAGGGAAAAAAGAATACGTAGATAAACCACACAAAAGATATACGGGGGAAAAAGTCGGATGGGATTTCTATTGCATGTGGATACGCATGTCACAAATGCACACACACACACACACATACGTCTGTACACATGAACACAAACACACAATCTCTCTCACTCACTCACTTACACACACACACACACATGCAAAAATAGCATATACCTACAGACACAGGTAATAATAAAAAAAAAAAAAATATTGAGCGGTGACACACATTTCTACCTGTACACCCATCTGTGCGCCTGCGTGCGGTCTGCATGACTACAGACACGGGAGGACAAATCGTAGAAATGTACGTACATGCACAGAAGGAAATATGTGAATACATCCATTCTCACTTCGGTGGCAGAGCAAGAGAAAAGGCCGTGGATTAGCTGGAGATTGAATTGGGGAAGGGGAGCGCGGTCGCCACGCCACAGCGGGTCGGCGGAGAATGGGCTATCATGGAACTGGGAGAGAGGGAGAGAGGGAGAGGGAGAGGGAGAGGGAGAGAGGGAGAGGAAGAGGAAAGGGAGGGAAGGATAGGAAGGAGAGACGGTGAGAGTGAAAGAGGGGAGAGTGAAGGAAAGGAAGGGTAGGAAAGAGAGACAGGGAGAGTGAAAGAGGGGAGAGAAAAGGAAGGGAAGGATAGGAAAGAGAGACAAGGAGAGTGAAAGAGGGGAGAGAGAAGGAAGGGAAGGATAGGAAAGAGAGACAAGGAGAGTGAAAGAGGGGAGAGTGAAGGAAAGGAAGGGTAGGAAAGAGGGAAGGTGAGAGGGAAGGAAGGGAAGGATAGGAAAGCGAGAGTGAGAGTGAGAGTGAAAGAAGGGAGAGAGAGGGGGTGGAAGAAAATAGGGAGGGGGAAGGGAGAGTGAAAGAACGGGAAGACAGGGAGTGGGAAAGGATTGAGAGTGAAAGAGGGAGAGAGGGGGAAAGGAGGGGGATGGGAGAGGAGAGGAAGAGGGAGACGGAGGAATGGGAAAGTGGATGTGAGAGTAAAAGAATAGGAGTGGGAGAGGAAGGGATAGGGGAAGGGTGGAGAGGAGGTAGGAGGGAGGAAAAAGGAGAGGGAAGAAGAGTGGGAGAGGGAGAGAGAAATAAGAGACCGGGGTATGGAAGGCGAAAAGAAAATGAGAGAAAGGAGAGAAAGGAACAGGAAGAGACAGTGCTTACAAATCCATTTATTTGCCAGTGTGGCATGCGCGGGTGTGCGGATGAGGGGACACGCGGAATGAAGGCGGCGAAAAGGGGGGCGGGAGGGTATTCCAAATAAAACACCCACAAACACTAAAAGCTTCGGCCCGCCACCTGTAATCCACTCCCACACACACACACACACACATACATAAAAAAAAACCTGAAATGAACTACAAAACCGCATCCGACAGGCTCGGCGGCTAATCCCCCGGGTCTATCATGTACATCCGGGGGAAACCCAACGGGGTAATACTTTAGCTCCCGAATGATCGGCCAATCCTCACAAGTCCCACTCGCCAAATTATCCAGCCCTTTTGCCCGGGGGCTCCTAAATCCCCAGACTTCTTTCCCAAGTTATCAGAGCTAATCCCAAAGTCCCCTAACCTAATTCAACGGGGCTAAAGACTCAATCCGTTCGATCAAAGTCCTTAATCCGGCGATTAAACGCCCGGACGCGAATCTTCCAAAGCCAGACTTAATGCGAGTGTCACTAATACTGCATTCCCAACCTCCAGCTTTCCGACGTCGACGCTGGTGCCGCCTTTTCCTCGTCCTCTCCCTTTCGTCTCCCTTTATTCCCCTTCTTCCAGTCACCTTTTCGCCTTCCTCTCCACTCTTTTCCTTTATTCTAGTTGCATTTTCCTCCTCTTTCTCCTCTTCCTTCTTCCCGTTTCTTACTTTATGTTCTGCTACCTTTTCCACCTATTCCTCCTTCTCTTCCTCTCCCTCTTTTCTTTACCGCTTTCCCTTTCCTTCCTCCTCTTTCCCCTTCCCGTTCCTCACCTTTTCTTCCGCCACCTTTTCCCCCACTTATTAATCCTCCTCTTCCTCTCCCTCTTTCCCTTTCCCCTTCCTTTCTCTTCCCCCTCTTCTTTTTGTCTATTCGTCATCGACTTTAAAATCCCCGCCATCCACAAAGGCATCGACCCTCATTCACCCTTCAATTAATCATTCTTTCTCCTATAGAAACATTTACAATTTAAATCCTACCCCCGTCGCCCAGGTACATAAATATAGCCCCTTGCAGCTTATACTATAAAATTCCTGGTTTCCATATATGCCCTCCAAACTCTCTCCCACTCTCTCTTACTCCCTTCTCTTTCTTTCCTCTCTCTCACCCACTCACTCTCTTTTTTTTCTTTCTCGCTATCTCCCTCATTCATTTCATTCCTCCTTCTCTCCCTCTTCCCTCCCTACCTCTCCCTCTCCCTTCCTCTCTCTCTCCCTCCATACCTCTCCCTCTCCCTTCCTCTCTCTCTCCCTCCCTCTCCCTTCCTTC